CCCATCATACTTCTTGTGGTTAAAAAAAAAAATGGCAAAGACAGTCAAAAGAAGGAAATAGTTCATATTGGAGAGGTTTGTGGGAAGCCAGGCATATTAATACACTGTTGGTGGGGTTATGAACTGCTTCAAACTTTCCGGAAAATAATTTGAAGTTACTTGAGAAAAATCATTAAGTGCTCATACCATTTGATCCAGTTGACCATGCCTGAAAATGTACCCCAAGGAGGTCAATAATAGGAAGAAAGATCCCATATATACCAAAATATTCACAATAGTATTACAAACAAACAAAAAACTTATGGGAACACAGTAGGTACTGGAGTGATTGGGGAATGGCTGATCAAATCTTGGTATGTCAATGCTATAACATATAGTTACACTACTTGGTTGTTGTTCAGTTCTTTAATTGCGTCTGAATTGTCTTAGGGTCTAGTTTCACGTATAATAAGATGTCACCTGAAAATACTGCTGAACAACTGTTCGTTCCCCCTTGGAAAATTTCCATAACTTCTTCTCATTGTTGTTTCAGTAGTGTCTGACTCTTTGTGACCCCGTTTGGGGTTTTCTTGGCAAAGATACTGAAGTGGTTTACCATTTCCTTCTCCAGCTCATTTTACAGATGAGGGAACTGGGGCAAACAGGGTTAAGTGACTTGCCCAGGGTCACCCAGGTAGTAAATATCTGAGGCCAGATTTGAACTCAGCAAGATGAGTCTTCCTGACTCCAGGTCCAGCACTCTACCCACTGTGCTATCTAGCTGCCCTATTTTTACACAATAAGGGATGACAAGTTTGAAGAATTCAGTGTAATGTAGGAAGCCACATATGAAATGATGTGAAGCAAAGAAATCACAACCAAGAGAATGCATACAATGACTACAATAATGTAAATGAAGACAACACAATTCATATAAATTGTAATGAACGATGCAGATTCCAGGGTACTGATGCTGAAAACGCTTCTCTTTTATTTGTCACCATTATCAGACAGATTTGTTCAACTTTTTTTTTAAATATGAGAACATGTGATCAGGTGGTTATTGGGGAGTGTTTGTAGTATAAAAACCAAAATGTATCTACAAAACATTTAACACATAGAACACATAGAAAGTGTTTCATATATGTTTACTGACAAAATATTTTTTTAAAGTGGGGAATAATAATACTTATCTACCTCATACGGTTGTTGTGAGGAAAATGCTTTGCAAATTTTAAGAGGTATGTGTGTGTGTACATGTGTGCACACCCCCCCCTTAATGTACATACCATGTCTGATATATTTAACATGTTTTAGATACACAGACTATATATATATATGTGTGTGTGTGTGTGTGTGTGTGTATGTATGTATATATATAAATGTAAATACATAAAATGAAAAAATGCCACATGGCATGTATACCTTAAAATGTATGTGGATGGTATAGACACACATTCATGCATACATTCATGTGCACACAGCGCACACATGTATAACACATGTGCGTGTGTGTGTACACATGCACACATGCTACTACTGTTGTTCTTGTCCTGCTGTCTCCTATTTCCAGGCCTCTGTCTGTACCATCCCCTAAGCTGGAGTGGCCTACCCTCACTATCTCTCCTGGAGTCCCTCCTCATCTGCTTTCAAAGTCCAACTCAAATGGGAGCCATCCTAAGAAACACTTTCTGATCCACCCAGGCAGAATTGAGCTCCCTCTCCCCAAATTTCTTACAGCACCGTGCCTGACTCTTGCCTTACAATTATCTTCCCTTGTATTCCTTCTCTCTTTGCATGCCCTGCCTCCTTATTTTTTTGTTACCTGACTTTCCCTCTTTAGGCTGTATTACCCTGCAGATCACAGCCTATTCCTATTGATGCAGAGCTATAAAAAGAGTGCTAGCTTTAGCACCAAAGGGTCTGGATTCCAATCCCAGCTCTGCTACCTCCTACTTGTGTGACCCAGGGACAAATCATTTAATGTCTCTGGGTCTCAGTTTCTCCATCTGTTAAGAGAGAGTCCTGGAAGAGTCAATCTCCAGGGTCCCTTGAGCTCCAAGCTTATGGTCTTGTGATGTCTCTCTGTATCCACTGGCAGACGCGCATGTGGAAGGTATGCAATAAATGTTTGCGGAATTACACTGAACTGAAGTGAATGAACCTTTGCCTACTGTTCTGCAAGGTAGCTGATCTCGGTCTTCACGGTGCAGGCAAGGATGCAGACCAGAACAGTGTGAGGGCCAGGGGAAAGCAGGCTTTTACTTCACCACGAAGGCTACCGAATAATTCCCTCCCGCATCAGCAGTTTAAGTTTGAAACCGTGACCACCCAATGACTTTCTGTGGCATTTTGTGAAATCAGCTGACAGCCTTGGCCCTGTTCCCAGCAGCAGGTGTAAATATCACTAGAATCTACGACACTGGGCACTCTCTTGGCAGGGGGTTTAAGAATTAAACGGTCTTTGGAGAATGATCTGACCTCTCTTTTTCAGATGGCTAATTATGGTAAGGTATTCTGTAACTGCAAAGTGCTGGATAAGTACAATAATCCAAGGTTTTAATCCCCCACTTTCCACATGCAATAAAATTCAATTTTTAAGGGAAAAAAAATACATATCTGCTCCTCCCTTTGAAATGCAGTAAACCGACTTTGCTTTGAAAATAAATTAATTATCTCAGTTCACTGGGCAACAACAGTTCCCAGTATGTGGGTATGTATCCTCAGGGGAAAAAAAGTTATCAAGAAGCAAGGGCTGGAGACTAAAGAGAAGAGGATTTTCAGTCATTTTAAAAAATTATCATTATTAGATGTAAGAAAGGTTAGAAAATAGAAACAACTATCAACTTCTTTGGCATCAGAAGTTATCAATCAACAAATATTTACTAAGTACCTACTATATATTGTCCTAGGCTGTAGAAGACTAAAAGAAGGATGAAAGAATACTCCTGCCCTCAGGAAGCTTCTAATCTAGCATAAACACTGGCAAAAGTAAATAAAAAATATAAGCAAAGAGAAATCACAAAGTACTATATGAATAATTTTTTAATGAGTGGTACAGAGTGTGTCTGTATTTACTGCCCAGAGGCATGAGGCTATTTTTGTGGAAACGAATTTACCACTTTACTTTTCAAACTCATAGTCTTTACACAGGACTGCTCAGCCCTAGGACCATGACCTCAGAAGGAAAAAAAAAAATCACTTTGAAGATAACATGGGGATAAAGAAATCTGTATTCTAGAGGCTAAGGGAAGGGCCAAATGGGAGTACAACCAAAACAGCTCTTTTAGGAACCAATGATTTTGTGAATAGCAAGCAGTGTTTGACCACTAAAAACCAAGAGATCCAAAGTCCTATTCCTTTAAGAATAGTATCTGGAAGACTGAAAGGAAGTGATTTGGAAACCCCTGTGAGGCAACAGTATTTTCTTTATCCTGGAAAAACATTCCAGAGGACAGGTATATGAGTTGGAGGGGACAGGTCAGGAAAAGAACGTCTGAGTCAAGTCAGTATCCATACTAGCATGCCCTATTTCTCTAAGTTCTGTTCTCCCACCTTCAACCCCAAGTCATTTAATAAAAATGCTCAATAAAATATCTTATGAGTAGGATGTTAAGATCACAGATGTTGAGCTGGAAGGGCCCTCAGAGACCAGCTAATCCAATCCCCTATTTGAGGAGCCAAAAAGGCTTGCCACAAAGTGATGTGCCCTAGGTACCAAAGGCAGTAAGCAACAAAGGTGGGATTTAAACCAGGTCTTCCGACTAAGTGTACTTTCCACTGCATTTCTGAAATGGAATCTTAGGGGGTGGGTGTGTGTGTGGGTGTGTGTGTGTGTGTGTGTGTGTGAGTGAAAGAGAGAGAGAAACCAAATTCTCTGATAAAACACTGTATTATAAATGGTGCTGGACTTTGGAATTAAGAGATTTGGGTTTAAATTCTGGTTCTGACCTTTCCTAGCCACGTGATACTGGGCAGGTCACCCAGCCTCTCTGTGCCTCAGCTTCTTCACTGGGAAAATGAACATAATAGTAACTTCACTATCTACCTCACAGGACTATTATAAAACGAGCCCTTTGGAGACCTTACCTTAAAAGCATTATAGAAATGTGAGCTATTTTGATGTAGTAAGTACATCTTTACTCTTAAAGAGTGACTTCCTGCACTGTCTTGGGGAGGGTGGTGGAGAGGAAGGGGGAGAAAAATTTGAAACTCAAAAGCATATGGAAATGATTATTGATAAATCAAAATAAATTAATTTAAAAAAAAAGAGTGACTTCCTTTCCAAAGCCTCGAAATTCAGAGCTAACATTGTGATGTTTGGGGGTGCGGGAGAAGTCTTCCACTATGAGCCAAGAAACCTGGGTATAGGTACCAGGTCTGCCAAAAATTCTACTGTGTGATTATAATCAAGCCCCTTAACTTTCATGGTCTCAGTTTCCTCATCTATAAAATCTGGTAGAAAAAGGCTGAATGGTCTCTTGAGTTCCTGCTACTTCTTAGATTTTTATGTCCTATGATGCCAATCATATCACTCTGGTAGACGTAGACACACACACTCACGCACATCAGAGTTCTTTGTTGTTTTAAATAACTCTAAGTTATGGCATGAGTCAAGAAGACTACTCTTCCTGAGTTCAAATTTGGCCCTAGATACTGTGTGACCCTGCTAGTCACTTAAATCTGTTTGCCTCAATTTCCTCATCTGTCAAATGAGCTGGAGAAGGAAATGGCAAACCACTCCACTTTCTGTGCCAAGAAAACCCCAAATGCTGTCATGAAGAGTTGGACATGACTCAACAACAAGAAGTCATGGCACTTTTCCACGGGGGAATGAACAGTTATTCAGCAACATTTTCAGGTGACATCTTACTACACACAAAACTAGACAATTCTTCTTCTGCTGGCTCTCTCATTTCAGTTGGCTTTCACTGACAAGCACAGACACTAAATATTATTTACAAGACTACAGCTTTCTATAATTTTCCTGATAGCCTGCTAATGGAATATCTAATACTTACTTCAGAGCATTCAGAATGGGGAAAACACTATTTCCAGCACCACAGCCAACCTAAAATTAAAAAAAAAAAGAGAGAGAGGACAAATAAAAATCAGAGCAGTAAAGCAAATGTCTCCCTAGACAAAGCAATTTAGGTTTAGAACGGTTTCTGATTTTCATCATTCTAATGTTGAAGTTGTTCTGACATTTTATTAGCTTTGTGACATATGTACATCTTCTCTATGTCTCAGCTTTCCCATCTGCAAATCGGGCACAATAATAACTTCACTATCTACTGAGCAGGAAGGAACCCTGTGGGCCTTAAAGAAACAAGCAAGAAATAGTCATATTAGAACTGTCACTCCTTCATCTACCTAAATACAATAAATGTGAGAAATAGATTAAGAGAAAAAATTGTAGCCAGGCACACTGGGGTGCAAATCGCAATGCTGGAGACAACAGCCACGATGATGCTATTGGTTACTGATTCTACTCCCTTACATGATCCTCGATGCATGTCAACTTCTTTAGGCACTTCAGTCTGGAACCAGATCTTTCTGGCCAGTTACTTTTTTCTTTTTTCATTTGCCTAGAGACTTGAAATCCCTAATTGCAAACCAGGGCCACTAAAAAAAAAAATTACACAGACTGTCCACTTTCAGGTCATTCACTATCTGAGACTTCCTGCCCACATTTTCCTAGTACAGTACCTCCAGGATCCTGAAAGTGGCATGGCTGCCAATGAACAAACTGGTCTTTGCAGCCTCTCCTCTCTTCTTTTTAGGATGCTGTCTGTCACCAGATCTTATTGCGCTCTGGCTGTAGGCAAAATCACCAACAGAATCATTTTTACAAGCCTCCACTCCTTCAGGCATGGCTGGGCAGTTGATTTTTGAGAAAAAGTCTGTAGCATTAGTTTTTACGTGATCCCAAGACATTTTTCCCTTCTCTTCTTTAGTTTGTAGTCCAACTGGAAGAATTTCAGGAAATTCCCTCAACAGCCAATTACGATCCTTGAAAAATTTATTCTTATGAATCTTATAAAAATTATTCCAATATTTACTGGCTTGACTTTCGTATTTCACTAAAACAAAAAAGAAAGAAAAATACATTTTATGAAATCTGTATTTAGTTTATTATTCATGCTATTCACAGTGATAATCATTTTACATGCATCATTTAAAAAACACACAAAAATTTTAGAAAGCTTAAAAACTAACCAAATTTAAATATATATACTTTTAACATGTGCTTTATATTTAACTTCACTTTATTTACCTTATATATTCACAGCCCAGGGCCTTAAAAATACAGAGCATCATCATTACAAACTCCTTTTCTTAGCTTACACTTGGAATCTATCCCCTAATAAATGCATTTTCATGAATATCTTGTATACTTATATGAATCTAGACTTCAGAAAGAGACATTTCCTTAAGGCTCCAAATGCAGGTTTAGTACATTAATTTTTTTTAATGCAAAACTCAAACACAAACTCTCCTTAACAGAGACTGAAGGACAGGAGAAAGAATGAGAACAGAGGTCATCCATATTAGAATTTTTTGGGCATTCCTTTTTATATGGTCACAACTAAGCGTTCTTAGGTTTGTGGCATGGCTTGACTCATTACATCACAAGAACTTAAGAACTAGAAAGCTCCTTGGAGACCACCTAGTCTAGCTCCTACCTGAAAAATGGATCCTCTTTTCAACATCCCTGACAAATAGTCATCATCAGACTCTGTTTGAAGCTCTTTAGTGATGGTGAAATTCATTACTTCTCAAGGCAGATCATCTGATTTAAAATTTTTCATTTAAATTAATATTTCCCAATGAACACAAATCCACCTTTTCTCCCTCCCACCCCATCTCATATTTTAAAAACAGCTCTTTGAAGTCCCTCCTTATAGTGAGTCAAAATCAGCTTTCCTGTAACTCCTACCACTGGTCCTAACTGTACCTTTGAGAGACAGATTAAGTGGAAATCTCCTTTCACAGTCCAAACCCTTCATGTATCTGAAAGACAATTTTCTCATATTCTTATTTTCTTCAACAGTGGCTCTTGGAAGTATCCCTTCCCTCATCCTAGCCCTTATTGAACCTTAATTCAGTTACACCTAATGGAGACACTCAGCATTTGAGGCTGGAGTTTTAAAGTACTTTTGAATATACCATAAGACACATTTCATTTTCTTCACAGATCTGAAGGTCCTCTACCCTCAGGACATTGTTCCAAGGAACCCTGACATGGGGCTGTGTGTCAGGTCCATATTTGGCACATGGTTCTATTCCATCTTCTCTAAGATTTTCTTTTTTCCTACTTTCAATTTTTATCTTTTATAGCCCTGTATAATCATAGAATTAAAATTATAAGGAACTTAAAATTTTTTTATTCTGAAATTAAACATCAAAAATAGAATATTTCTATATATGTATATACACATGTGTATAATATATGTATGTATGTATATATACATATATGAAAACATGAAAGAAGGCTGTATATAAAACCATGATCTGTGTTTCAAACCATTAAAACAAAAATATAAAAATCCCAAGCATTATTTTCAACATTATTATCTACATTTCCTTCTGACTTTTTTTTAGTATCACAATTACTAACCTCTTTGCTGTCTGACACTCTCTCTCCAATTAAAAGCCAAGAAGGAAGAAAAAGAAAAAAAGAATAATACCTTGTAATAAATACATGGTCAAACAAAATGAATCTACACAGCAGTCATGTCCAAAAATGTATGACTCTTTCTACACCTTGAGTCCATCACCTCTCTATGAGGAGTGGGTAACAAGCTCTATCACAGGTCCTCCGAAGACAACGGTGGTCACTCCACTGATCAGAGTTCTTAAGTCTTTCAAAGTTGTTTTTCTTTACAACGTCATTGTTATTCTATAAATTGTTCTGCTTCTGTTCACTTCACTCTGCATCAATATGGGTGATATACAATGAACACTAAAAATTACCAGTTCTCTAAACCATTAGGACATGGTCTTTTTTTTTTTTAAATGATACTTTATTTTTCCCCAGTTACATGTAAAGACAATTTTTAACAATCATATCAAAAATTTTTTGAGTTCCAAATTTTCTCAACGTGGTCTTTTAAACACATTTTCACTATTGCTTTCATTTTCAGTTTTGAATTGCAAAGAAAATTAATGTTCAACAGAGATTCCAGGAACACAACTAATCTGGTTTAGATGCCAAATGTGTTACTATAATTGGCTCTTTCAATTCGTGAAGCATCAAAATTTAATGTCATCCTTTATAATTATCATAAAATACTAAATAATATCAAACTGGTAAAAGTTTGTTAAAGCCATGACCTTGGTTTCAAAAATGGGAAATGTATACAAACAAGTATCAGGAATTGTTTACTTAAGTTAATTGCTAATCCACTCAAAGATTAGGGGAAAAAAAGAAAAGAAAAATGCCCATAAATTCAAAGGAAACACTAACTAATAGGGGAGGGGGCAGGAGGAGAAGAGAACCACAATATAATCACAAAACCATCCAACAAATTATTTTAGTTACGCTATTCCTGTTCTCTTTCCTAAATTATGAATCATTCAACTGAAATTAAAACTTTATTATGCCTTCTGAAATATTTAAACAATTATAAATTTAATGTCAATTGCCTTTAACTCTTTATAAAATCTAGTACTAAAAAGGTACTCTGAGATGTAATAATGAAAATGGACAAAAGCAAAATATGAGAATACAGAATTCATGCAACTTGTATTATTTGAATTATTTAATGTATAAACCATAAAGGAGAGACCATGGCATAGCAGAAGCAAAGAGAATATAAACTGGGATTCGAGTTCAGTGGGGGTAAAGGTGGGGCCAGGACTAGTGAAATGGGAAGGTTTCATTTTAAAATTGTGTTGTCTATTGCAGGTCCCATTTCTGTCAATGCTGGGGATTTTTAAAAAATTAATTTTTATTGCTATTTTATTGATTTGTTTTACATATGTTCATTCCTGAATGGAACTCCACTCCTCCAAATCCAGAGAGCTATTCCTCATAACAAAGAATAAAAAAAAAAGAGAAAAAAAGCAGCACAGCAAAACTAACCAATACAACAATTAAATATGACAGTATTATTATATGTAATGTTCCATTCCCATAGCCCCTCACTTCTGCTAAGAACCAAGGGAGGTACATTTTTTTTTAATCTCTTCTCTAGGGTTAAGCTTGGTCATTATACTCACTCAAGAGCTGGGAATTCTGTAATCAAGTAAAGGTAAATGGTAGGAGGTAGAAACTCAGCCAATTATCAAAGATGCAATAACACCATAACAACAATAACAATAACAACAGATATTCCAGGACACAATTTAGTTCCCTGAAAGATAGGCATTGTTGAGGATACCTGGGATGTGGAAGGTTAATTCTCTTTTCACAGGTGGATTCTCAGACAGTTGTTTAGTCATCCTGAGCTCAGGCCAATAATGACAAAACTTGACCTTTCTTCAGCCCTGTCTCTCTGACCTTCTAACCAGGTATGCTAATGATATTAGAAATTTTCTTGCTGGAGCATGGCTGTTTACTCTAGTGGGGTTACAGACTCTTGAGTTAATTGCTATATGCTTGCTGATGGCAGAGAAACAGATGCAGTGCTCCTTTTTAACCACGGCAGAATGAAGCAACTTTTCAATTATTCACACACTGCCGAGGGTAAAAAGGTATATGACGCATACTAGCCAATTATAAATGTTCAGAATTCACTCTGAATCACATTGAATATCACAAATAAGAAAATGTATTAAACCATTTGTGCCTCTGACACATATACGATATGATTAATATGAATTATGAAAATTTATTCTAAGTTGCTATGTAACAAAAAGCAATTTAAGGTTATTTTTGCTCACCGATTACGCAAATAATTCAACTCTCAAAGTTGGAAATTTCCAAGTGTCTAGGGATCACTGATAAATTTTTCTGACTAATAAAAAAACCACAACCCTTTAAAGGTTATTACAATGAAAGCAAATTTCTGAAGTGTGCCCCACACGAAATTTTAAGCATCTCAATAGCCTTGCCAATAAATATCCCAAATTTATTAGTCCATAGAAATTTTTTGTTAACTCACCAACTCTACAAAGGGTACTCAAGTGGCAAGATGAAGCAAGAATTCTTTATTATTTGCCTGAGACAAATAATAACTTGCCCAAGGCAGCTAGATATTTGCAAGGCTGATTTAAAATGAAATAGCTGTTTCTGTTACCGAGCTTAGTAACCATCACATTTCCTAGCTAACCAGCTATGATTTAAGAGACTAGAAATGCTTTTAAGGGATGAAAAAAATACATTTTTCCACACCCTCATCTTAAATTGCCACGTGTATACTTCTTAAACTTTCCTTGGAATAGTATCTGTCCAAAAAGGGCAGAGGGAGGAGGAGGAAGAAAAAAGGAAAATAACTTCATTTTGCTGAAATTTTAAAGACATCAGTGAGTAGAAATGAGGAACTGGATCATAAGACCAGCTAAAGGAATACTGCTACAAGGCCTGATGGTGACAAACTCTAACAGCCAAAAGGAGGCATCCCTATTAACAAATCAAGCAAAAAAAATACCCTTGTTATTCTTCAACTTAAATTCTCCTTACTATTAATACCATATATGGATTTCCCCTTTTCAGCTTCAGCCAAGCTATTGTGACATTTAACAAAGGGACCAGGGCTTGGCTGTGAAAGGAAAGACAGACAGACACAAAAGGGATTGAAAGAAATACGCAGATAGAGTTGGTACCAGCAACTCAACCAGTAGCTCTTCCTCAGTGGGTCTGAAATATGCAGAGTGAAAGAGGTAAACAGAACTCAGATCCAACAACAATCTGCATCTGAGATGCAAGAGAAAATTCATTCATTCAAAGACTCTGGGCTTTCCTATGTAAGAGATAACACAATGATTACAGAGCCATTGGCAAGCAGGTGAATGTGTCAAAAATCTTGTTAGGGCTCAAAGACTTTAGGAAGAGCTACTAAAATACTAATCTCACCACTTTTCCTTGTGGTCACCAAACAGCCCATCAGGAGCCTCCCCCAGGGCTTATGGGCTCTAA